TGGAACTAAACTGTAAGTTACTGTTTCTAATTTTATAATTAGTAGTTTCAGGTGAAGTAAAGGCAGAATTCTTCTCCAAATATAAGTGTCCCAATGTCTTAGTGCAGAGAGTGTAGAAGGTTACCTCTTGGGAAGAGCTGCTTGCAAATAGAAGAGCATATGATAATGCTTTCTTACTCCTTTCCTAATACAGCATCTGACAGCACATTCTTGACTTAAGCCTAATGAGAAGCAAAGGAGTAGCTTTGCAGAAGTATATATAGTTAGATTTGTGCTAAAGAACTTTCCTGAATACAGCTTCTTTTCATGTTAATAATGTAAAAAATTCGTTCTTCTCTTAATGTTCATCTTGAGACCTTGTGTTGGCTATTTATTAGCTATCCTCACATAAGTTGACTGTACTTGCTTTTCATTATAACTACAATGAGTTCTCTAGTGGCAGGTTTACAATAATGGTCCTAAAATTCAAAATACAGATTGCAGTGTTTTCCTAGGAAGTCCATCACTTTCCATTAATATTGAAGCTATAACATTTCATCTTTGTGCTTCTTTTGTTGTGCCTTTGCCTTCTTTTAAACTGTCTGACTCTTCTCTGTTAAAACAAACTATGAAAAGCAAATATTTTGATTCAAGATATTGGATAGTTTCAAAAGCAGAAGCCACAGAGGCTGGTTGTTTTTTGTAATGATACATAATAATTTCAAGTTTACAGTGCTGGCTTTCAGGACACTTTTAAAAAGAGATGAGAGTTTAATATGTATTTAATTAAATATTGTCTACCTTCCTCTTAAAGACAGGGAAAGGGAAGAATGAGACTTCCTGTAATTCAGGCAACTGGTAAGCATTTTTATTTACTTGCTGAAGAGGGTATCAGTTATGGAAAAACCACTCACCTGATGGTATGAGTTATAGAGAGGGAAAGTTTTATTATGTTATGACTACACACAAACAGAAGATACAGGTATGGTCAATATATAGTGGGTATCTGTCTTTTTTTTAGGGCATGTTAAGTACTTTGTTTTCTTACACTTTGATAGTATTGTGCATACAATAAGTGCAGTTCATGGTACTAAGAAGAGGCAGAAAAAAGTAGTAAAAAATGCCCAACCTGAGTGTGAAACTAGGATGTCTATTTGGTATGTTTTTCTCCCTCCTCTAATTCCCTTTGAGTTTTCATCTAAGATACTGTTGTTAGGTCTATGCATTATAAAGTTAAAAAAGAACTGGGGAAAAAAACAAACCAAACCAAAACAAAACCCGAAGTTAATATTCAGTTATGGATTTTGGGTTTCCTTGGTTTGATCATCAGATGTCACAACTGTGTGACATCTGACTGCAGTAGAGTGACATATGACTGCAGTAACAGCCCTGTAATTTATGATGGTGTCAGATAGAACTGACATTTTTTTTTCAGAGGTTCCCCATGGACAACACACATGCTAAAATAAGCAAAATCTGTAGGAGGAGGAAATAATTTTATTAGACCAGCTGATACAATCAGAGAAAACAGATAAGCCCATGGACAGTTTCTTCATTACATCGTTGCATCTAAGATTAACGTTTTCTCCTAGTCAAATAGCATTGACCATAGCAGTCATTTAGTAATATATACATAATGTCATATGTGTCATGCAATGAACTGAAAAGGAATTTTCTTGGTTACTATCTTTACAAGGCTTTGCAAGACACCTGTTAAATATATGAGTGATATGAAATCTCCACTGAATCCCTGGAATTACCTAATATGATCTTTTTAAGATTCTAGCAGTATCATCTACTACATACGTCTTTTTTGAAGGCATGCTTGTCTCCAGAACATTGCAATGTGACATACATTCAGAGAAGATAACCAGTAGTGCCTTAAGTCTTTTTTCAATGCTTCTGTTATAAGGGCAGAACACAGCATTGAGTAGTCTTTTCCTTGAGAAGGATCACAGAAATTTGTCAACCTGTCAATTATGGATCTTAAGGAGAGTGACCACCTTCTTAACTGATTTAGACAGCTTGTCATCATTTGCCACTCCTTAGGAAATATGTCTGCAGCCTTCCTGATGTCTTAATCCCTGCTGTTCTCATTGTTCTGGAGATCGAGGTGCACTAAGAGCCATTCTGCAGTGAGGTACACTCTGAAATAATCCCTACTGTTCCTTAGAGCTACCATTTGGTGCGCAATACTTTAGTTGTTTTACCTTCCCGGTATCCTCATCTAGTATGACTGTATGAGGCAAGATCGTTGTACCATAAGAAACAATTCTACTTCAATGGGCTCTGACAATGTAATGTGCATTTTTTATAATTTCCCACAATTCTCTGACTTCCAGTTAATTTTGTTTAGGACCGGATAATTTAATACAGAATCAACAAGGGCAACAGTCTGCTGCTGTTGCCTCTTCTCCCAGAATCAGGAGTAGACTGAGATAACTATATTTCCAGGAAAAGCCAAGCTAACTGGATGACTTGGAGGCACGTGATTTCTCTATGAAATGAAACTTTGACTATACTAAAGAATACAGTGAAGTGAATGAGGGTGGGATAAGCTGGTAGTATTTTACTGACTTCAGTTACTGACATCCTGAACTGTGTATTTTTTCTAAATCAGTTGAGCATTTCTTTCAGTTCTGTTATATATTGACCATTTCCATAAATTTCTGAAGGCTATTTATTTCCTTTGATATAACATTATTTTTTCTGAAGCATCTTTTTTACACTGCCTCCTTAGTAGTATCCTTTTTTGGTATCACAGATCGGTTTTGAAGTAATTGAACTACCTTTGAAATTATGGAAACCTGCTTCATCTCTGATCTGTCTGTTGAGTGGAATCCTTAGTAGGTATCTCGTCAAAGAGCGGTTTAAGTCAGATGCCTCAATCAAGACTTGAGAGACATTTATAAATTTATAATAGGAAAAAAGTAACTCTGTGAATTGCAGTTCATATACATAATTCATCACTGATGTATAATACACGACATATTCTTCTTACATCGAAAACACAATATTTTGTCCTGTATTGTGTATGTATTCTGGTACTATTATGATACACAGCACATACTGAGTTAATGTTTTAGCTGATAGGATGCCAGAAATTAGTTTAGGCATGATGTCACTGTAGCTTTATTCTGCATGCCTTTTCTTCTTCATCTTGTTTGGCATCCCTTTCAAACAGAAAGTCAAAATATGCTCTGGGTCTAATAACAGTGTTTGCAAAACACAGTTTTGTTGAGCTTTCCTGGAGGAAGGGTCATAAATTCATCCAAACCAATTTATTTATTTATTTTGTCTTTGCAATTCTGTGTTATGTATATGGAAAAAAGCAGCATTAAATGAAAATACTGCAGCCCTCTTGAAAGGGTTTTGTGAAAAGCAGGAACACTTTCTCTAGATAAGTAATTTCTTTGTGCTTTCTGTGCATTTTTCTTACTGAGAAGTTTTCAGTAGCTTATAAATTTACTGTGAAAGAAGATGGCTAATTGCACCATGTTTCACATTCTGAGTTTCACATTAGAAGATATCCAATGTTAATGAACTTACATAATTTAAACAGTAGTTTGTAAGCTTGCATTGCCTTCTCGTTTTCATCAAGCTGTAATAGCGAAAAATACCCTTTGTATTTCCCATTCCTTTCTGTAAGGCCTTGTTTAGAGAAGAAGCCTATATGGAATGTTGAGGAGAAAGTGTGATCTGATTAACAGTTAGTCTAAGGATTTAGGTTTTGTGCTCAGCTCTGTTGACATTTCAGTTCTCCTTTTTGAATGAAATCCTAGCACCACTGAAATCAATGTGAGTCATAAAAACTGACTGCAAGAAAGCAAAGGTTTTACTTATCTGCATTAGTTTCTCAATCTGTAAATTTGGCTATTTATTTTCACCCACACTCTGACATGCAGTGAAGTTTTATAAGTTGCTTGAAGAGTCTGTGGTGACACAAGAGACCAAACCATCAGCTTCTACAAAATGGAAATTTTTTTAGGCTTTGTATTTGGGGGGTTTTGTTATTTGTTTTTTTAAAGTTCCTATTCTTCATGTTATGTTGGTCTCTTTAAAATGCAAATTAATGCAAGTAAAGGTACACTTACTGCAAAACTGAGTTATCTGACAGATTTTTGCATGGCTGAGCAACAGCAGAATCTGCAGAATTCATCTCCTTGCTGTTGTTCTCCAGAGCCCTCTTTGGTGGTGAAAGAGGGTTTTTTAGGAGGCTACAGCTTTCAATAATAATTAAAAGAGTAAGTTAACTCCTTTGTTTTGAACTCACTTTGTTTTGACTCTGTATTAACCACATTATGTCAGCCTAACAGTTCTTCAGAACTATATCAAATCATAACATCATTTAAAATGACAAAAAAGTGTTACAAAAGAACTGTAGGCTTCACTTAGATTTCAGCTATAATGAAAAGTGGTTTTCAGGAGTGGTTAAAAAATTAAAGTAAATGCTAAGCTAATGATGTTAGAAACAAACGTATTAATTTACAGATTTTTAAGACTTTATGTTCTAAGCCTTTGGTGTTGATGAAATGTTGTCAGGTTCCAAATTAACTTGCAGTTATTTTAAAGCAGATCTCTTTCTAAGGATTATCTAACTGCATTTTAAGTTTGGGGAAGGCCTGTAAAATAAATAATGTTCTTGAATTGGTTATTATGTTTTATTGTGACATACTTGTCCCTACCATGAATCACATGCATTTCAATACCCACCAGTTCATTGGTTGGTCATAACTGTTCATACTTGAATGTTACAAATGTACCTGTTACAGCTTTCATGTTCATGACCTGTGTTTTGAAGAATACTTACACTTGAACAGTTGAATTTGCAAAAAGAAAATGCCTACATAGTTAATTAACTGCTTGCTTATTAATTGTAATTTAATTACTGGAACCTTAATATTGTTAAGAAGGTGAAATGGATCTGTTTGTCAAATAAAAGTGAAATTGCATGAATTTATTTTTAAAAAACCTAAACATTCTTTTCATGACCACCAAAATGTCACTCTTTTGTATTCCAGAATCGAATGGAAGAAAGCAAAGCACTCTTCAGAACAATTATCACATATCCATGGTTCCAGAACTCTTCAGTCATTCTGTTCTTAAATAAAAAAGATCTCTTAGAGGAGAAAATTATGTACTCCCATCTAGTTGATTATTTTCCAGAGTATGATGGTAAGTATAATGACATCAGAGCTCATACTCTATTTATTACACTGCAGTAATTGTAATAGATTTGTTCAAGTGCTAGGCAGATGGATCTTTTGATACATTTTGCTCTTTAAAAAAAAAAAGGTGCTTTGCAATTTTTAATCATCTGAATTTTTAAAATATGGTTGAACTCTTGTGGGATTTTTTTAGACTGCTAGGATTTCATTTTGTATTGTAATTAATAGCAAGTAAGATGGCAGAACCTTTCATGGGAAATTGTTGACTTTGAGATGAATATTGTCATATTAGCAGTGAACCACATTCTGTCCTTTTTCATAAGTTGAGGTGAGGGTTTAAGCTGAAGTATAAAACCTAGAAATGAAATAAGAATGCATTCCTCACTTTTACACATTGTCTCCCATACTCTGTTTTGAGGTTTGTTTTTGTGTCAAGCTGAATATCTGAGGGGAAGTATCATAAGCTCTTTGTGACACTCAGAAATACTAGCAGTGCTCCTTCCACCCTTTTATTGTATCTCTTTTTTTCCTTTTAATTCTACATTATTTATGTGAAGTTTAATGTGCTTGTCCAGAAAAAAAAAAAAAATGTGTGAATTGTACAGCTGTTTCTACTAAAACTGTACTTCAGAAAGTTCTCCTGGGGAAAAAATCTAAATATTTTAAGGTAACTGAGTGGAAGCCTTGATAACAGAGAAAAATCAAACTCACATAAGAGGTCTAAAGAACTAAATGCTCCTACTTTTTAGAAAAAGAAAATCTGTTTTGTCCCACCAAGGAGTGAATAGCAGATTTGAAAGCTGAAAAAAGGATTAAATCTCTCTTGTTCAAATATGAAAAATAATAATAGGAGATATGAAAAATAGTAATAGGAAAAAATGTATATTTTGTTTCCTTTTTAAGGGGAAGGAAACAGTGAGGATCTGCAGGATCAGATATTATTTTTGAGTCAGTGTAAGTTTTTCATAGTTCTATGCAGAAGAGAACTGGCAGTTGAATAGGAAGTCTTGTTCTTAAGAGTTTACTTTGTATGACAAGTTCCTTAGAGGACATACTGAAGGTGAGAAGACTACAGTCTACTCTCTTACCACCACTCAAGTGACAATAATGCGTTAAATATGCTTATCCAGAAAAAGCAGACAACTCAACCACCGAGCTCAGAGAAACCCTATTTCTCCTGTCATTTGCCACTGGTGAGGGGAAAAAAGATTATGCACTGGTAGGGCTGTTGGAGTCAAGACCTGGAAGTCTTCAAGAGTCTTTGTCTCTTAATTCTGCAGATCTTGCTGAACTTATCTCCATAGACAAGGTTATGGTTTGATTTTATTTCTTCTGGTGACAGGGTGGGGTCTGTATCTTGCAGACTTGTGGTCCCCTCTTCTGTCCCAGCACATGGGGGATGTAGGAGGTAGGAGGATCTGAGAAAGGGATCAGAATTAGGTATTTTTCAGCTGGATCACTTCTCCCATCTGTTTTCGTGCACAAGGGAGGAAGTAGCATAGAGATGAGAACTTCTAGCCAGGATGGCAAATTGGGCTGATTAAATTAAGCAAAGAAGTTCTGCATGGTGTATTGTACCAACATTGGAAGGGGGACTGAGGCATGCTCAGGGGTACATGTATTGCATGAAGACATCCTTGCATGGCTAGTACTAGAAGACTGTCTCACAGACTTGTATGAAGAGCTGAGATAGGGAGAGAAAACAAAGAAAAAAAAGGGGCTGTAGTTTGGAGGAAAAGAAGAGAAAAATATTGATGTAGTACCTCTTGCATAGATCTTGAATGCATTACATAGAGACACTCTTCAGAAACTGCTGATAGGGTGCAGTGGACAAGAAACCTACTGATTTATATGGCAGTTCTTTTCCAAGTGTCCATATGATTTAGTTCACAACCACTTTGCAGTCAAAATTTAGCATTGACTCATTCAATTTTTTTACTAAATTCCTGAGGTCATAAACGTTCTTTCTAACCTTTATTTTCCTTGAGAAAATGAAGTTACTTGAATTTCTGTGAAACGAAAATTTAAATTACATGATAGTCAGTAGAGGTATGATTAGGTGAGCAAATTTGGATACAGGCTTTGAATAATGCAGTAGATTTTTAGAGAGTGCTGTGTCTAGCTACTACGAAACTATGTAGCAAAATTCTAGTAAGTCGTTTAGAACAGTAAGTGGTTTATTTTGAAGAAGTTATTGTCTCTGAAAGGCCTAAGATTTTTCTTAACAAATTTATTGGTGGTAGTGTGAGACTTATGTTGCTGCGGTTTCTCTAGAGTCTGAGTGACCGAGCAAGAGGCTTGAGCCTGTTGTGTTTTATAAGCTGTAGAAGTGTTGAGCCTGTCCTCTGTTGAACCAGTTGTCCTCTGTCCTGCTTCAGAGAACTTAGGATCTGTTTACATCCCTAAATCTCAGGAGTTGCATCATCTGTTTATCTGTATGCATGTACATATATGTTCACGTGCATACACCAACATATTGCAGAACCTTATTCCCCCTCCACATGGATTTGCAGCACACCAGAAAGTATGTGATTTCTCCTCTATGCATTCCCTACCTAAATTTTATAGAATTATCCAAATTGGAAATGTTAGGAACTGTAACCTTGAAGCATTAAGAAGAAGGTTTAGTATCCAGTTGAAAAATACATGGGCGTGTGCTAACCCCCAAAGTACAGATTTTGTAACTACTGAAGGACAGAGCTACCTATAACAGCTGAACGTTGTAACAACAGGACTAACAAAGAGAAGAGGAGGAGGCAGCACAGAAAACATGTGTGTTCTGTAGAAATTCATGTTCCAGAAACAGGAGAGCAAGGGATAATGTCCTTCAGAAACAGCACTGGAATAATGGAACATGATTCAACAGCTTGTGGCTAATATTCTTGCTTCTTCACTGCTTTTTTAGCTATGAACATGAATGAATCCTCACTGTTCCAGGATGGAAGTCATTGCTTTTTACCTTCTGTCTTTTGTAAATCTGAACGTGTGGTTTGGTTACATAGACTCTCTATCCTTCTAAGAATTAAAACGTTAATTTAGATCTGATAAGATCGTTATCATACATAATTTAGATAACAAGTGATTTGTTAGAACATGAACCTTTTGCAATCAAACAGCTTCAGCTGGAGAGCATGTGTATTTTATTATCACTAAAGTAAATTAAGTTCTATTGACGACAGTGTCAGACCAGTTCAGGATATAACTTCATTATGCTACCTATTAAATCCTCACAAAACTAGAAAATATTGCAGTGATAAAAGAACTTAAGTGTAATTTAAATCTAGTAGGTGTAGACTGAACATTCACCAATTCTATTGACATTTTAAAGGATTTATTAATATAGTTAATTTTCCATTTTTCATTCCATGCAGTTATAAATCACCTGTTTAAAACATTATCTTACCAAAGAAAGAGGATAGTCAGCAGGAGAAAAGCAACTATGACATGACAGCTCTGACTTGATGAACTTCTGACATTTCCTTCCATCTTTATTTTTCATAGTTACTCCCAGGATGGAAGTAGCCAGTATATGATACTACTGATTAGTAAAAAGTTCCCTGTCTTCTCTTACATGAGGACCATAGACTGAGACTTTCTTGTTTTCTGTTAAAGAAGTTCAAATATTGAATTGACTTTATGAAAAGCGACTTTCTCTTCTTAATTATCAGGACCACAACGGGATGCACAAGCAGCACGAGAGTTCATCCTGAAGATGTTCGTAGACCTGAATCCAGACAGTGACAAAATTATCTACTCCCACTTCACATGCGCTACAGACACAGAGAATATCCGCTTCGTCTTTGCTGCTGTCAAGGACACAATCCTACAGTTAAACCTGAAGGAGTACAACCTGGTCTAACTGTGCCTAGGAGGCCCTCCAAAACCAATTTTGCGTGATTGAAGATATACAAGAGGGACTGTATTATCTGTGAAAACAATTTGCATAATACTAATTTATTGCTGGCCTGGACTCTGTGAATGTCCACAGAGTTTGTAGTTAATATTATGATTTTATTTAAACTATATGGAGGAAAAACAAAAGATGCTGAAGTACATTCACAGCACATTTCCTCATTTTTTAGGCAAAACCTTGTGACTCAGTGTGTTTTAAATTCTCAGTCATACATTTACAAAGGATAGCAATTTTTTGCTATTGAAGCAAAGTCAAGCTGGTTTCCTCTTTCCCTGATCCTTTCCCTCTGATTCCTTCCCCTCCCTCCTTACCTCTTACAAGGTACAATGGCCTTTTTTTTCCCAGTTGCATTCATGGGTGAAATACTCTCTGTTCAGTGATTTGGTCAGGAAAATACTATCATCAAAATTTAAGTCATCAGTCGTTCAAATTTTACAGTATGTACTTTCTCTAAAGGATCAAAAGTATTGATACTGTGGTTTTTAAATTTTTGACATGGGTGTCTTCATTCTGTCTTCGCTTTTGAGACTATTGGGAGTGCAAAATAGAATTACAGTTGTCTAAGGATATTAAATTTAACCGTATTTTCACAGTTTGGAAAAGTGTACAGAAGGCAGTAATGAAATAATTTAAGACACAACCTGGGATGTATATGGAATATGTTAGAATCTCTTTTTAATTGCCATGTGCCATTTTTTTCCTCTTCTTTTATTCACAAATGCCAAAAAGAAATGTCACAGACACTACATTTTCCCCAGTGGCTACAGCCTGAAACAGTGGGGTTTTTTCTTCAGTTGTGTAGGGGCTTTTCTTAAGTTAGAGCATTTTTAAGTGTTCTTTTTCCACAGTAGAAAAATTTTTATTGTATAAAATTGATCTTGCCAAATCTGGCTTTTTATAAAACCAATGCTCTTGAAACATAAGATACCGATTGAAATGCCAAACTGATGGGTTGGGAACTGACCTGATTGAGTCAACTGCCAAATGATAAACAAACACAGCTTCAACATATGTTCCCTTTTTAGAAAGTGTTCCATTTTCTAATGCCAAAACCAACAGTGTGAGTAAATATGCTGCGAGGTGCACCATGCACATGCATGTGGTCTACTAATTTAAAGACAGTTTTAAATCTCTCCTTATGTTAGATACAGTATGAGATTGTCTTCTGTAACAATATCAAGGCACCTTTAGTTGTGTAACAAATTACTGATGGGATCATGTTCAGGAACCTTTCTTGATAAAGTTGTTAACTGATTCACATACATTTGATAGGCTTTCATGCCAAATAGCCTCTCTCAATGTTCTTTAGAAAAAATTTATTAATGTAAATGAAACAGTGAGAAAATCATTCTTGAAATTCAAATGTGCAATTTTTAAACAACAAAAATACAGCACACATTGTTGAGCCTTTATTCTGCAGCTTGGGTTGAAAGGTGTTTTTTAACCAGGTGCATGATTGCTAGCAAGCTATAGAAAACTCAGAGTTCAGACACATAGTTGGATTGATTATCTGCAGTGCCAAGTAGCACTCGAGTGCACTTAACACTGAAATTGCTGCCTCATAGCAGTGGATGGGAGGTGGAAAAAAGAATGGCTTATTAGTTAATTACCAAAGTTAACAATTAATAATAATGAGGCGTTTTTCATCCTTAAACCTCCCAACTTCAAAACAACAGTAATAAGAACAGTTGCTATTTTTTGCTCCCTCTTAAAACACCTTGTAATTTAAAACTGTTTGTAGGTATAGTGCAATTATGAATGCTATAATCATTGTACATACATCTATATATATATATATGGCAGCATCCATATTGGCTTTGTAATCATTAATTTTTGGCAAATTGAATGTGCTGTATTGATATGTATCTATGTAATTGTATTGTATGTCTTATAGCTAATTCACATTTTAAATAATGTTATTTTATTTACTTTTTTAAGAGAGAAGAATGTAAATTTTGTCAGTTTATTTCTGACTAGGGATTTGTTGGTTTTTATTTACAAAACAAAAAAAACTACTATAGTACAGAGTGGTACTAGCGTTGTGCTGTATAAAATCATTTGCACATTCCTGAGTATAAGTAAATTGGAGATGCCCAAACAGAGGCCATTCACATTCAAAATAATGCTTAAATCTTGTCAGGGCTTTATACAGGTGTAGAAACCAGTCTTATTTGAAGAACTTATACCGATGTATTTAGGATTGGAACGTAAGCTTTTAAATACAAATTTAATTTATATTTGGTAGATTCGTATTAGATTACTTTTACTTTTCTAATAGTCTTTATTAGAAAAGTAAATTTAGAGATATTTCAAACCATTGTACATAAGTACTAATGAGTATATACACTCTTGCCCTAAAAATACCATGAAAAAATACAGAACATGAGGTCAGTTAAAGTCTTTCAGAAACCTCAGAAAATTTAGATAGAACAACAACCAAAAGTCACTATTATATCAATGATTTTAAGGAGCTAAAGCATTTTATTTTACAAAGCTAAAGCAGGTAGATCTAGGTTATAAAAAGTAACACTGACATTCTGAATAGGGGATCAGAGCAGTGACTCTTACATACAGAATAATAAAATTGGTCCTTATTTTGCTATAAATGCAACGGAGCTTCTGTTTTCACAGTTCCACTGTTGGTAATATCCCTTCTTTTAACCTGGGAATACATTGCCCACACTGGATTCAGTGCTGTCAATGGAACTGTAGCCAAAAAGAAAAACAGACAGTGGTGTCTAGCAAAGTTTGGGGTTGGTTTGGGGTTTTTTAGTTTGTTTTGTTTTCTTATGGGATATTGGGTGGGGGAGAAGGAAATGTTTTGAGTTTTGTATAAAAACAAAAGTTTACTCATGCTTTACAGTTATATTGTGATTGCAAAAGTTTTCAAGAAATGTGTGCCACTGGGATACTTCTGGTTTATTTTAGGTAAGTTGAACCTGTGGCAGTGTTCAGATCATTTGAGCATGTTCTGAAAAAAAATAGTATTTGGCATGCCAAGGCAAGCTTTACACAAGTCACCTAACACAGTATTGCAGTGTGACAGTTTGCAAAAACATTTCCTTTTTAAATGACACAGCTGTTCCCACTTGCAGTATATTCTCTTGTGGTACTGGTGGTATTGTTGTTGCTGTTGTTCTAATTGGTGGTTTCTACTATGCCTTATAGTTCTTGAGTCCAGAAGTTTGTGCCTCTAACTTGAAACTGAAGGCAAAACCATCAAGACAGAAGCCCTTTTAACTTTGCCAAAATTATGTGATTTCTTTGAATGTCATAAATGAGGGAGGAGGGAAGAAAAACGTCTTGGGAACCTGTGTATTCTAGATGTTCACTAGCGCAAGAAAGGTGTAGTATGTGTTTTGCAGAAACCTTAAACTTGCCTTTTTCACAAATTAACTGGCACTGTCCTTACATGTATAGGATGATGCAGCTATAAGGGCAGTTTACTTTTTATAATTCAGACACTTTTGATTGTCAAGGTGTATGAACTGTAATTTCTAATCATACTGCCACATAATTGTGAATCACTTTTTTAAGTTTGAAAGTGGAGACTTTTTATGCTGGATATCAGTCAGAATTGACTGCATGATTTGCAAAAACTAATGGGGGGAAAAGGGCTGCATATAAAGACATCACTAGACTCCCAGGCTTTGGTTGTAAGGTGCAGAAGACTTCCAGATAAATCAACCTTATGACCCATTCCTTGTCATACATTCTTCACAAAAGAATGAAATATTAGGAGGAAAAAAAAAAGACGTTAGCCCACATGAAAAAAAAATCTAGCCAATTAATTTATTATATGTGCTGCTGTTCCTGGAGTTCTGTGCATGGTTATCCTGTAGACTATTACATTAGTGAAATAATGAAGCGTGCACAGCATATTAACAAGGCCTACAAATGACCTACCTCTAGCTAAGAGACCAGTAAAGTAAATATGTTTTGAAGAGACTGTCCTAAGTTAGGAAATTCAAGTGTCCTGGTGTAGGTAATCAACTGTGGTATTTTAGAAATTCACATTTTTGTAAATACGGTCCCTCTTTTGACATAAACCATAAATTCTGAGATTTTAATATGTATTAAACTACTAAAGCCATTTGTCCCTGTCCAGTTTGTTAGTTTAGTAGACGTTTTGCTGAATCATACATTTAGTTTGAGGAGCTACTGATATTTCCTTATTTTTTGGCTTCTGGTTATCCATAATATTTTGAGTTGTTACCAGTCAACCAGGAACATTTCTATGTAGTCAACAATACATTGAGGGTCACTATTTGCTAGTTAAAGGGATTTTACTGTAAGTTTCACTCAAGCTTTTTCACAGTAGCCATGCTACAGGAAAGAAAGGAATAGAGGGAGTTTTTGAAGGTAGTGTGAAAAATATAAATTCAGCCAGATCAATCTTACTGTAAATCTGTGGTTAGGTTTTTTTCTCTCAAAATAGAGTCTAAACTGAAGTCTGTTGCTGGATTCCTCATTTACCATGCTACAGGAAATCCTTATTTGACTTTTTTTTTTTTTGAGGGGGATTGTCTGATACATTTTTAAACTTGCAGTATTTAAAAATAAAGATCATATTTGCTGTTCTTAAAGTGTCATTTAAATGCATGTATTCTGTGTTGTTTGAGGGACAGAAATAGTTTTTTTGAAAAAAAAAAAACTAATATTGTACAGTTACTGTCCCTCAAAAATGTTGCTGGTTAAAAATACAATATTTTTGGCCATAACTTCGTACTATAGTATCGTCATTCATTGAAATTTAGCTTTTCTGAAATATTATTTGGGTTTATTGTTCTCCCAAAGTGCTGCTGCTTATGATAAATGTTGGATAGATGTATTAATCCATTATTACTTTTTAATTACATGTGCTCTATTGGCATTGTCTAAATGTTAAAATTTCCAGAATGTCTTTATTACAGCCAGACCATTCAAAACATTTAAGGTTTGTTACAGTGGAGACAGTCATTTGAACCGTGTTTTTTTTGAAAGGGTTTTTTTCGTCTTGCGTACAATGGAAACTTGGAAGCATGGGGGCAAAGAAATATTCTATATCTCACTAACAGAAAACTTTCAGAATTTGTAGATGCTGAGGTGAATTTTTTAAGCATTTTGGCTGATTGCAGTAGCACTGCAAGAGCAGACTTTCTTTGATCTTTTTTGTTTGCATGTGTGATGATAGGAATAATGTAAAGATGCCCATGTGTTGCTTTTCAGAAGTCTGGCTCATGTCTGCTCAACAATCAGTAGACCTCAAATCTTCATTACTGAAGAAATAGTATTTCAGGCCAGTTGCAAAAATTTTATTCTGTTATGTGATCACAACAGTTGAAGTGAGATTCTTGAAGTCTAAACAGTTTGCCTAAGCAAGGACTTGAGTGAATGGCTCCTGATTTTTCTTTCCTCTTACAGAATGTAAGGGAGAGGGATCAGTGGGAAAGGATTTATTTTATCTTCATGTCACAGTGAAGATAACGTCAACCAAAATACAGTGTAAGTGGTGATCTTTAGATATGTGAAATAGATGTAGTGTATATCTGTGTAATAAATTGTGCATAGTTGTGATAAAACCTCACATCACATACTTTGATCTTATCACCCAATTGCCAGGTGCTTTGTAGGATACTGTCTCAAACACCTAAGAGTTCCAGAGTATTTGTAGACTGCCACAAAATACACAGTTGCCAGCTCCTCAGGAACACGTCTATTATCAGTATCTGGTATCAAGGCAGCTGACCCCTTTTCAGAGCTCATTGCTACCGAAAGAAACTACACTCAAAGACCACCTCAGTTCCTGGTTCTCAGCTGCATGGGGTTTTTCCGTTCCCTTATGTCAACTCTGCCACTTAGCCTGCCTGTAAACTTGTTGAAAAACCCCACTCATTTTTCCTCTTGCTTGGCTGATTTAGCAGTCTAATTTTGAGACATTTTCAGACAATTTCCTAATCAACAGTTCAGACAAGTGCTAAACTGACTTAAGTGGAGGAGGTAGAATTGTGTGGCCAAAATGTTTAAAAGTTAGGAAGAAAGGGAGTTGAAACACCCCTCCTTTTAAAACCTAGTCCTGAACAGTGTGTAGTCCAAAACCTTCATTATATGCACCCCATGGGCTGTTAACTGTTCTGGCTTGAAAGGATTGTGCTTTTCACTTTGAAAGTTCTTGATTGCATTTCTATCCTGGAAAAAAATAAATGATAAGACAAGGAAGACTTTTCTGTTTCCCCTTAAGAATAACAAGTTTGTGTATACATGGACTAAACCCAGCTGTAGTGAGACTGAAGCCAACAAGTCACACTTGGTGTTAAGGATGGAGAAATATAAGAATTGGGCTTTTATTTGTCTCACAAGAAAAAAACAAAACAAAACAAAAAACTGAACAGTTCTTGTTCATTTCCAGTAAGATCTTTTAAAAAAAAAAAAGTTTTCCATCTTAAGGTATTTAAAAGGCCGTGTCACTGTGCATGACATTCAAAGTTTACTGTGTCTTTGTCCAAGGCACTCCTTCCTTCTCCATTCACACTTGTCTATCACACTGATTAATTGCTCCTTGCTATCTAAAGAAAGTATTTTTACTGTACTGCTTTACATATGTACACTCAGGAATACTTTCTGATCCTTGTGAATTAAAGGTAAATTGATCTACTAAAACTGAACAGTTGATGAGGTGCAATAGAACCGAAGAAGACTGCACTTTTTCTTTAGTCTTGTTTCATGTCCCTCCTACCATCTTGTTCTGATTATTTTTCTGTAGATTTCTTTTATCCTGTTGGCCATAAAGTGAAGGTTAATTGATGTATCAGATTCAATTCTGGTAATCATTACAAAATTTATTATACTGGTTGAATTAAAACCAATTTGAGAATAAGAATAGCTTTCTAAAGTTCCTGTAATCAGGGGCAGATCCAATTAGCCTTGTGGACAGGCACTTCAGACAACAAAGCTATAAGACTATAGTTGTAGTACAGTCAATTAAAGGATATAGTAGGCTAATGTAGGCCAAATTGGGCCAAAATACCCATTTTAATATGTTATTTTGTATTGTCAATAGAAAACTGTGTTTGCCAAGATGTTACTGAAATTTTGCTTTTTTTCCTACAGTCCTGTATGGGGTGGTTAATGCACTGATGAGACTGGCACTCAACTGGAGAGATGCATTAATTTGACAATAAGTTCAAATGTATTCTTGCAGAGATAAGTTATTGCATAAGATTACTTTATATGATGCTAACAAAAAAAAAAAAGAGGACAATTTGCATGCAGTAAATATTTAAGATATTGCACTTTTATACATTTATTATAAAGAGGAATCACTCCCTAAAAATAAAATTCCATTTATCTCAAGATGAAGTATCTGGAGTCTCTTAACAACTGTCAGTTAACTGTGCACACAAGTGTGATTATGGTATAGTAGAGGTTAATCAATTTGTTATCCCATGCTGTAGAATATTTGGTTTATTCTGAATTATGATTTTGGAAAGGCAGAATAACACTTTGTACCAGTGTCTTGATTGCTACTTTTCTCAGCATGTCTTAGGAGAACCTTCATGATTACTAATAGGACCTGATTTATTTTAGCTCAAGAAATTGACTGCCATGTAAAATCCATCAGTAAGGTTTCTCTTAAGGTACTTTAGAACTTCATTGTTATATCTGACTTTGCCTCAGTTTAGCAACCTGCGTGGAATTGAGAGGCAAAAGGCCAGATACAAACATAATCAGATTGGATACTTTCCTTGCATAATAATCTTTTAACACATAAATCTCTTGAATTGAATGACCTTTATTTAGTCTTCTATTGCACAGCAAGCAAAATGACAGGTCTCTGCCACCACAAGTTCATGAAATGGCAGACGTTTAGCTGCTGCAGACTTAATTTTGTGCAATCTACTCATACTACTTTAGTCTGTTGCTTTCAATAATTCTGTGCCCAATGCAGTTCAGTAGAAGGAAAATGAATTTGCTTGTCTACCTGGAGGAGCTTGAGTAAAAAATTTGACTTCACTGAGAAAGCTGCTTCTCAGAGGAGGCTTCTGTTAGAGCTGATCATCTGAAATTTCCCAACATTATTAACTTGCTAGTTCAAATTCTATAAGTAGCAGACATTGAAGCATTAGTGTAAAGAAAGCATGCATTTCCATCACCAACAGCAATCTGCCTCGAGCAGACTGGCTTGGGCTGATGTGGCATTATTTTAAATGCTCATAGTTACATGGAAATTCCCATATGGTATACTGCTGCCACCATGACCCACTGTGCCACCTGTGAACCCAGGGTCCCAAAGGGTGGAGATTTTGACAGAAAGTCTTAGTGTCTGATGTTTCTGTATTCAAAGCAGGAGCAGTTATCCTGTTCCTTCAGTGGAACAGAATTTCTCTACCATGGAGATAACCTACTCACTTTCTGGTTTTTTCCTCTCCCTCTCTCTCATTTTCATTTAAAAAAATAACTTCCAGAGGAATCAGGAAGGCTAATGACATCCTACACTCACATTCCAGACAGCAGTTTCAGCAGTCTTGTTTGAGCCCACAAGAGACTAATATGAATATGATCACTGGCTATTTAATTAAAACATCAAGCCTCTAACATCTATTGGGATTGAATATGTAGATACCCTTTGTCCTTTAGGAAGGTGCCTTTATTGATATTGTAGAAGGTGGTTTCAAGTTTAGGATTTGTGAAGTGACCAGAAAGGAAGTAATCGATGATAGACGGCCATTAACAATGTTCTGAGATCTACAGTGAGTACAAGCAGGACACTAGACTGTGAAGTATCCACACACTGAAGTTAGCGATACAGGAGGAGGGGAATTTCTTTTTGTGGAAAATTAATTCAGTAGCTACTTATGCTTAGGCCAAAAGTACACTGAGAAAATAGCAACATGGAAATCATATTACCACATAATAAAAACTGTTCTGAAAAAAAAAAAAAAAAAAAAAAAAAAAAAAAAGTAAAATCTGAGGCATTTTGCAAAGACTTTGAGAATGTCATTAAAGAAAACACAATTTCAGGATCTATCTGTACAACCAATACGCTACCTAGCTATATATGCAGGATCGGTGACACTTAGGAAATTATATAGATAAATAAAGACAAAAAAATTAACACAGAGCCAATGCCAGGCCACACAGTTTTACATCTTTCATCACAGACAGGTACAAACATTTTTAAGTGTGTTTGTCTATATGTACATATACATTTCTATTGGCATGGGAAGCATATTGGGCATTGTGTCATGTCTGAGAGTGCCGTAATCTTACAGATAATGCCACCTACATAACGAATTTCCAGAAAGGTGTTGTAAAACTGCTGTAATTTTATAGATTTTAATGAAAACTAGAAGTTATGTTTTGGTTGTTTTTTTTTTACTTTAAATTTTAAAACTTTATTTTAAAGGTGTTTTCTGCAAGAGCCTGAGTTTTTTGATATCTTACATCTAAATAAAGTGATGATTGTCCTGGTGGGTGAAGGTCATTAGGTTTTCACAAGACTACAGTGATGATGAAAAAATCCTGGATGCTAAAATAGTGTGTGGTCAAGAGACCAGAATTATGTTGTGAATGTATGAAAACAGAAATAGACAGAACATATGTATTTCCAAAATGTTTTAGTATATTTTGTCATTTAGACCTCATCATTCGGGATTTTAAAAGCTTTAGATGTCCTTCTCAATGTCTTTGGTGTTAATACTACATGTATTGATTTTTAGGTTTTAATTTTTTAGAAATATACTGAATGAATTTGTAACTAGTTGATCAATCATTTTTTAGTAACAACCTATATTTATTAGCATTTGCTACAAAGTTACATTTGTGTTCGAAGAACAATGTTAATAGTGGGAATTTTTTATCCACCAAATATTGTCCATGTTCTAGCATAGCAAGACACAGGGAATACCAGCAAGCACTTAGCAGATTCTAGAAGTGTTGTAATTCCCATGCATGACTTGCACCTTTCCCGGACTTCATGTTTAGTTATAGGGTCATAGCATATCTGAATATCAAATTCAGAAAAACAAAAAAATATTCTCTATCAATGTTCTTGATTGAGTTTCCATCCTCCCTGGATGAGTGTTCAAGCAAATGACTTGCATTTATCATTGAGAATCGTGCTGAAATTCTCTCACATAAGTGCTTGACACTGACTTCATAAGCCAGCTGTCACTATTGCTTAACCTCACACCATTTTTGACCTATGGGAGCTAACAGAGAATATCACAGTTCTAAGATTAGTGGTGGCCCTCTAAAGAGCATCTGTTGACCATGGACCTTTGCTTCCCTCCTTGCTGGAATAGAAATCTAAACATCTAGTCTCAAGTCCAGGATTGGAGGACTGAAATTCATTGTGATTATCCAAGTAGTTTGGAGATCGATACTTGCATATCTGCTACAATTTCTCAGTGAGTAAAGCAGTAAGCAAATAGCTTTACAGAAGTGTGGTTCATTTTGTTTACAGAGAAAACACATTGTGTTTTATACACATGCTAATGAGTCATCCACAGAAGCCCCTGACCATAACTGTACATAACAGGCTCCCCATAAGATTCTTTATATTTACGAAAGGTATATTCTAGTTTCTTCTGGAATTGTATGGACTGCTTTGTTGTGGATGGATGTTTCTAATTTAAGTGTCAAAACAACTGAATGCCTATGAAAAGTAAATTAAACATGCTGCTATGGAGGTTATTTTGGACCTTGCCCTCATCTCTGTTACTTTTTTTCACAAAATGTTCTTGTGCATAGTGGAGCACAGGATGTTGAGTAATTTTAAAATTTCACCAGTAGGTTGCAAGTGAATGGTATGTCAGTCACTTTTCAAAACAAAACTGAAGGCGTTTGGCTACCAGGATGGTGGAAAATCATGCCAGAATTATGGAGGAGGTTTTCTTCCTGGCAGAAAAATTAACTACATAAACCACCAAAGATACTAAACATGTAGGAGTTAATGAAGCACCTATTTCTCATAAATGGATTAAGATAGGCATTTTTTTGGTAAACTTAGCAATATGTATTTGATCAAATTTGATATTTAAAAAGAATATACCTATTTTATATGTTGTTATAAGGACAGAATATTAAAAATCTATACATTTTAATAGCTCTAGAAGATCCTTTATGCCAGAGAACCTGTCCTTCTGAGCAGTCACCCTTGCATGCTTTTTTGATATCTGCTTGAGTCTTCTGAAAATGGTTGATAAGTTAAATACTCCCATAGAGATTGACTCTGTTTAAGATTCATTAATTTAAGACAATTCTGTTTCCTCAGTTCCAAAAATCTTTTATTTCCTCATGTGGTCCCATTTTGAGGCTGCACAGACTGCAGGAGTATCTTACCTGTACAGTGGGTGTATTGGTGCAGTCTGTCTATGAAGGGATCTGCCTGACTTGCTAATTATCCAGCTACAACTTCCTATCTTCAGAAAGACTTTCTTCACTTCTCATTAGCACGATGTAATCCCCTACTGAGTTCTGAAGGAGAAATGCTTTAGCTAATTGGGAACCAATAAAAGAGCCTTCCTGATGTCACAGTGCACATATTGCCATATACCATTAGCTGTCAAAGACTGAATCTTTGTGGTCTCAGAAGTATGAAATTCAGCCTACATACTGCTGTTCTGATACATGGCAAAGACAATCTGGTGAATGCCACACAAACTGCTACCTTACCAGCTGCCCCTAAGTTAATATTCTTGATGATCTTGAAGGTCAAGATCCTTAGGGCAGTGAGAAGGTTGCACAGCAAGCTCACTACCCTGGACTTCAGGAGAGGAGACTTTGGCCTCCTCAGGGGTCTGCTTGGTAGAGTACCATGGGATAAATCTCTGAAAGGAATAGGGGCTTGAGAAAGCTGGTAAATATTCAAGGATCATCTCCTCCAAGCTCAGGAGTGATGCACCCCAACAAAGATGAAGTCAGGCAAAAAGCCAGGAGGCCTGTATGGATAAACAAGGATCTCCTGGACAAGCTCAAACACAAAACAGAAGCCTAAAGATGGCAGAAACAAGGACAAGTACCCCAAGAGGAATACAGAGAAATTGTGTGAGCAGCCAGGGATCAGGAAAGCTAAAGCCCAAGGGGAGAGCAGTGATGAGTGGAATTCCTCAGGGGTCAGTGTTGGGATGGGCACTGTTTAACGTCTTTGTTGGTGACATGGACAATGAGTTTGTGTCCTCAGGAAGTTTGCCAGTGCCACCAAGATGTGTGGTATGGTCAACAGGCTGGAGGTAAGGGATGTGCCATCCAGAGGGACCTTGACAGGCTTGAGAGGTGAGCCCATGCAAACTTCATGAAGTTCGTCAACGCCAAGTGCAAGGTCCTGGACATAGATTGGGGCAATCCCAAGCACAAATACAGGCTGGTATGAGGAGAAGGACTTGGGGGTGTTGCTTGATAAGCAGCTCAACATGACCCTGCAATGTGCATTTGCAGCCCAGAAAGCCAAACGTATCCTGTGCTGCATCAAAAGAAGCACAACCAGCAGGTCGAGGGACATGATTCTCACGCTCTACTCCACTCTCATGAGATCCCACCTGGAATACTGTCTTCAGTTCTAGAGCCGCCAACATAAGAAGGACATGGACCTGTTGGAGTGAGTCCAGAGAAGGGCTGCAAAGATAATCAGAAGGCTGGAGCACCTCTTCTATGAAGACAGGTTGAGAAAGTTAAGTTGTTCGGTCTGGAGGAGAGCTTCCAGTACCTAAAGGGGACCTACAGGAAAGATGGAGAGGAACTTCTTACGGGGGTGTGTAATGATAGGGTGAGGGGTAATGGCATTAAACTGAAAGAGTGTAGATTTAGATGAGACATAAGGAATAAATTCTTTACTGTGAGGGTAGTGAAACACTAGGAGAGTTGCCCAGAGAAGATGTGGCTGCCCCCTCCCTGGAAGTATCCATAGCCAGGTTGGATGGGGCTTTGAGCAACCTGGTCTAGTGGAAGGTGTCCTACTTTCTGTATGACCCCTTGGATGGGACCCAAGTTCAGTGAATTGCAAGGAAAGTATTTGGAAAGTTGCTTCGATGGGGGAGATGGGATACTATTAAGTGATGATGAAGCAAGGGGTTCTGGGGACTGGGAGTGTTTCTGAGTGACAGACGGGCAGGTGATGAGTCAATAGTGTCTTGAGTAGCTTATTTGACTTGGGTTGTGGACCTCAAGGATAGAGGAGAGCCTATGACTATTCAGGTAAAGAAGTCGTCAGAGTTAACGGAAGGAGTGCAAAAAGCCATGTGTGTTCAGGCAATTTCTGAAAGGGGGCAGCAAGGGATACCAATGGCGGCACTGGTGGACCTCTATCACATTAGATCTCTTATTAGTGGACTACTGGACATTTTAAAGATAGATGTCTAGTCCCTCAGAGAAAGGGTTCAGAGGGCAAATAAATAAAATCAGCAAGACTCTCAGAATCTGTCTGTGCATCTGTTAACCTAGGTCACCGTGTTAAATGGTACATTTGATTACAGGAGCAAGGTGAACTGATCCGGGTGATGATGTAGACAGTAATAGAAAGGTCTGGAAAGCCAGCCAAAAAACCCTGAATGTCTTCCTCTCCAGGAGCCTGAACCCCACTGAGGCAGGCTGGTTCAAATTTACAATCCAGGAAGGAACAACCTGGAAATTTTTCACAGAAAGAGTGGTCAGCCCAGGGAGGGGGTGGAGTCACCATCCTGGATGTGTTTAAGGGCCGTTTAGATGAGATGCTGGGGGATGTGGTGTAGGGGAGAACTTTGTAGAGTAGGGCTGGTGGTTGGACTCGATGATCCCAAGAGTATTTTCCAACCTGAATGATTCTGTGAACTGACCTTTGGCAAAAAACATGAGCACTAGGGGCAGCCAGAGCAATCCACTGATCATATCAGGAAGCTGGTGGAATTGCTAGAGGGAAAAACTCAAGAAATTCGGGTAAATTCAGCCCCCCTGGAGAGGGAAGCTTAACCCTTACGTGACACTGTGAGGGGAAGGAAGAATTTTAAAAATTGAAGTTGTGGTTTGGGGCTCAGGCCACCCGCTCAGAAAGGTAAATTCCTGTCAATGGTCAGCTGACAAGAAGCCTTATATAGGTATACCTGTGTGTCTAAAATTAATGTTTAGAGTTTCTAATTGATACAGGGGCCTAAATCAGTGTTCTAAACAGACAACAAGCTGATAAAATAGGAATTAAACTATTAAGAAAGACTATAAACCTAATGGGTGTGATGAGTGCAGCAGAAAAATGTTCCATAGCTTGAACTCAGTCTTGACTACGTGGGGAAAAGATGATGGCGGCTGTGGAGGTGACTCTGACCCTTATGAAAGAAATATATTAGGAATCGATGTTCTGGCAGGCAGTCAATGGACCATACTCATTTTGTTCTACAGGAGTATTAATGAGCCATGTTCCAAAACAGGACAATCCAAAGGGACCACTTCACACCAAGGAGGTACATGGGCCAACCTGTAAGGGTCAGACTGGCTTCTACTGGCATCATACCCATGACCCTGGCAAAACCCAGAGGCTCATATGCCTGGGAAGCCCTTGATGAGAGTAGAAAAACCACTGTATTAGTGTTCAGTGGATAATTCCCAATTTCTAATCTCAAGACCCGGTCTCAGAGGACCAAGGCTCAGCTTTGTGTTTTCTTACAGGGCAATGGGGAAACAGACCACCCTGCTGCTCCTACTGGCAGGGTGTTAGCAGCCAATATAGGCAGTGTAGACCTGGATGACAATGTAGTGGCAAAAATGGTTGGTGAGGTTTGCTTGAATGAATCTAACCTCAATAATGGTTTGCCTACCTCCAAGTCAGCAGAAGACCCTTTACCAATTTTTGTGCAGGACATTAATATATCATTAAACCTTGAGCTCATATGGGTCCAATATAATAATTACAGCTGGAGATATAGGGAGATCAAGGGAAGAGGCTATAGTTACATTGTCTATAGTTGGTCACTGGGTGAAGTAAATGCTAGCTCAGTATGAGATGACAGATGTACTTATGTTCTCCAACCCACTCATGAAGCCACGGGGTGGACCTAGAATGCCACTACACCATAGCCCAAAATTCAGTAGGAAAACTACCGAATACAATGCTCAGTGGAGTACTGACAAACATTCCCTACAATGTACAAGACCATTAAATGCCTCATGGTGTATCAAACACCCTGAAAAGGATAATGATGAGCGTCCTAGTGCATGTAACTGAAACTCATTCTACTGTCTTCTTAACTGCACATGGGCTAGATATATACTATGAACCTAGCAGGGATGGAAAAAGGATAAGGTGATCCCAGGAGGAAAGTCTCTGCTCTGCAATTGCCAGGTTGAGATTGGGTGCAAGGACATAGATAAAATGCCACTATGGTTACATCCTCCTTCTCAGTAAGCTTTAATACAGGGCTGCATATGTAGTAATACCAGTTATTTCTGGCTCTCTGCCCTAGATTGTAGTAAGAAAGACTGTTGTCTCCTCACTACCCTGCCAGGTTCATGTT